CGGGGCAATGGAGGACCCATGAGAGAACAGCCCTCCCTGGGAGCTGCTCGTTTGCCTCATTCGGGCTCACCTGCCTTCCTTTGGGCTCTGGGCCCTGGGGGGCAAGCTGGTCCCCTGTCCAGTGTGGCCGAGCCGCCGGGAACGCTCAGAGGCCGGCCCGGCTCCTGGGAGGCCCTCCTCCCTGGGGGGATGTGCCTCCTCCAGGCAGGTGGCCGGGCTTCCCCTCCCCAGGCCTCTAGGAACAAAGCCCTGGGCAGACCAGCCCTATCGGGACAACCAAATGCCAAACGCCAGGCAGCCTGGGGCGAGGAGCCTTCAGATTTACCCCGGACAGTCTCGCCTGAGCCCACAGCCCGCAGCCTGCAGCCTGCGGCCCCCTCTGCCCTGCGGCCGGATTGGCAGTGGGTCCACCCGCTTTCCAGGCCTCGGTGCCCACCGGCACAGGCGGAGCCTCTGGAGCCGCTCGGTGCCTCCGCAGCTGCCCGCAATGAGCAATGATTGTCGCCACCACCGGGCCGTCCCGGTCTCACACCTGCACCAGCCGACAAACAGGCTCCCAGCTTCTCGGAGTCCCTCACAGGGCGGCCTCTCGTCTTCCTCCGGCCCTGTGACCCCACAGGGCGGCTCGGGGGGACCCCCGGCCCAGACTCACACTCTCAGGGCCTCCCCCGTCACCAGGAACCTTCCGGGTGAGCCGGGCCCCGAGGCAGCGGGTGAGTCAGAAGCAGCGGGGATCACCCAGAGCTGCCTGGGTGGGGGCCAGTGGAGTGTGTGTGTGTGTGTGTGTGTGTGTGTGTGTGAGAGAGAGAGAGAGAGAGAGAGAGAGAGAGGAGAGAGAGAGAGGAGGAGGGAGGAGAGAGAGGGAGGGAGGGAGGGAGGGAGAGAGGGACAGGGAGAGGGAGAGGTAGAGAGAGGGAGGGAGAGGGAGAGAGGGAGAGGGAGAGGTAGAGAGAGGGAGAGAGAGGGAGAGAGGAAGAGAGAGAGGGAGAGAGAGGGAGAGAGAGAAAGAGAGGAGAGAGAGAGAGAGAGAGAGAGAGAGAGAGAGAGAGGAAGAGAGGAAGAGAGAGAGAGGGAAAGAGAGAGAGAGAATGTGTGTGTTTTAGTCTGCCAGAATAATAAAGACTCCACTTAAAAAATATATATATACATATATATATATATTATATATATATATATATATATATGTATATATATATTTTTTAAATTGATTTTCCACAGAGGAAGGGAGAGGCCCAGGCTCAGGTGGGCCAGGAGGGCAGGGCACCCCCTCCTGTCTCAGTGCAGACGCTGAGAGGCCGTGCCTCGGGCTCACAGAGTGGGGCAGTCCACCCCCCCGCCCCCCGCCTGCCCCCCGGGCCGTGCCCAGCCTCTGTCGGTGCTGACGTCTGTGGCCCTCACTGCTCTCTTGGGTGACGTGGGGGAGGCCCGGGCTCCCTGACTCACACTCAGAAGGGAGTGTCTGGGGGAGATTCCACCCAGGCCCTGATCAGAAATGCAGGTCACTCCCTGGCCGGTTTGGCTCAGTGGATAGAGCACCCGCCTGAGGATTGAAAGGTCCCGGGTTCGATTCCCGCCCCGAGGGCACGGGCCTCTGTTGCAGGCTCAATCCCCTCCAGGATGTGTCTCTCTCACCTGGATGTTTCTCTCTCTCTCTGTCTCTCCCCACCTACCTTCTACTCTGTCTAAAATTCAATGGGAAAATATCCACGGGTGAGGATTAACTAAAAAAAAATTTTAATAATGCAAGTCACACCTCAAGGCCTAAGCGCAGCCAAAACCGGTGTGGCTCAGTGGATAGAGCATCGGCCTGCGGACTGAAAGGTCCCGGGTTCGATTCCGGTCAAGGGCAAGCACCTTGGTTGCCGGCACATCCCCAGTAGGGGGTGTGCAGGAGGCAGCTGATGGATGTTTCTCTCTCATGGATGTTTCTAATTCTCTATCCCTCTCCCTTCCTCTCTGTAAAATATCAATGAAATATATTTTTTAAAAAAAGACCTAAGTGCTCTCTGACATATAGTCTGTGAAGTGCGTTTGAAGATAAATAGAAAAGCACAACAAGGAATCCTTAGAGCGATCGCCTTAGCCGAGCAGTTGGCAAACTCCGGCTCTCGAGCCACATGCGGTGGCTCTTTGGCTCCTGGAGGCTGGCTCTTCCACAAAACACCACGGCCTGGGCGAGTCTATGTTGAAGAAGTGGCGTTCAAAGAAGTTTACGTCTAAACAATGTGGCTCTCCAAAGAAATGTCCATCGTCCAGCTGTTGATATTTGGCTCTGTGGACTGATGAGTTTGCTGACCACTGGCCTGGCGACCTGCGAGAGCGCTGGTGGGTGATGTCACACCCCGTCAGCAGCTCCGAAGGCCTCCTCGGTGTTGCGTTGGCGCCACCAAATGGCAGAAGGCAGTATTGCTGCTGCCACGCCAGGAAAGGGAAATCTATTTCAAAGGGCCTTGGCTCATCCCAGTGGAGAAGGGGGTCTGGAGAGCTAGACCCGCCACGGAAACACCAAGATTTCAGACCCTGAGGGCAGGCTATGCCTTTGACGTGTCATCCTCTGCTGCCCAGGGCCCAGACTCTTCAAAGTTACATGCCAATGTGTTCATGTTTGTCTGGTACACATGCAAATCATTTTTTTTTTCAGGTTAAAAAAAAAAAAAAAAGACACAAACAAACCTAAACTAAAACCAAAGCCAGAAGCCAAGCCAATAAAAAACATTAGCCTTTTATAATATCTAATAGTTTTACCACGAAGGGCTGGCAACAGTGACTTCCGTTTCTATCACTTACTTTCCTATCGCTGCCGTCTATAATGATAAAAGCGTAATATGCTAATTAGACCGGGCGTCCTTCCCAATGACCTTGCGGATGACCTGGACGAAGCCAGGGCTGCGAGGGAAGCCCGGGTCCCGGGTGCCAGCTGGTGTCGGCAGCGGGGGGAAGGAAGGCGTGTTCTTGCACGAATTCCGTGCATCGGGCCTCTAGTTCTCCTATAAAGAAAAGTATTGCTCTAACCAACCAGGGACCCTGAAATAGCCCAGACAGGAAAGGCGGGATGGATGCATGATTCTTTCCCTGTCTCAGTTTCCAGAATGCCCTGGTCACGGAAAACATGGTTAAAATATTCTCTATAGTTGTTTTCAGCAAAACCACCCTCCGAGGAGCAAAACAGGAAGAGAGTGTTGACACAGAGACAACGTTCTACCAAGCACTTGGCTTTAAGGAGTCCACCAGGCCTGCTGGGAACACAGGGCCCTAGGGGGCAGCAGAGACCACCAGCTGCTGGAGCCAGAACATCCATCCTGGCTTTGACACCATCACAGACTCCTTACCACCGACCAGACCCAGGGTGGCTGTCAGCTCGCTAGAACCTCAGCTGACCCAAGAGGCAACATCCAGGCATTGCCGCAGGGACGGGCAGGGCTCCCAGCAGCCCCGTGCTCCTCTCCCACACAGCCATGATGAGAGAGAATCACCGATCGGCTGCCTCCTGCATGCCCCCCACTGGGGATGGAGCCTGCACCCAGGGCCTGTGCCCCTGAATCGAACCCGGACCCTTCAGGCCACAGACTGACGCTCCGTCCACTGAGCCACACCGGCCAGGGCTGGGGGGGACCATTTTCCAGCTTTGCCACACGCTACGGTTCGGAAATCACCCATGTGGCCCACGTCCTGAGGGTAGACAGGCCTAGGAGACGGGAGCCCGGAGACAAGGGGCTGATTTGAGGTGCCCAGGCCGCCTCCGTCTGGTCCTGGTCCCCGGGGTGGGACACTGACGTGTCCTGAGTGCTCCTCACCCACTCATCTGAGCCCAGGACACACCCTGGCCCTCCCCTCCTCCTAACGACCTGCTGAGGTGGCCCTGCTATTATCTGCCGTTTTGCGGATGAGAAAATGAGGGGGAAGGAGGCTGAGTCACCGGCCGGAGGGGAGGGAGCCGATGGCCGGTGGAGCTGGGAGGGTCACCGGCCGGGCAGCCAGAGGCAACACCTGCCGGGCCGGCACCATGCCCCGTCTCTGATCTACTCCATGAATCGCCCCTTTCTGTACCCGCCTAGCAAGTATGGAAGCACACTTCCGGAAAGCAAGGGGACCCCTCTGCTGAACCCCCTGCCCCCCTCCTTCTCAGAACCATGGCTCCAAAGACTTTTTAAAAAAATATTTTATTGATTTTTTATAGAGAGGAAGGGAGAGAGAGAGAGAGAGTTAGAAACATTGATGAGAGAGAGTTATTGATAGCTGCCTCCTGCACACCCCCTACTGGGGATGTGCCCGCAACCCAGGTACATGCCCTTGACTGGAATCAAACCCGGGACCCTTCAGTCCGCAGGACGACGCTCTATCCACTGAGCCACACCGGTTTCGGCATCCAAAGTCTTTGTAAAGAAAATATTTTTATTGATTTCAGAGAGGAAGAGAGAGAGAGAGAGAGAGAGAGAGAGAGAGAGAGAGAGAGAGAGAGAGAGAGAGAGAAATGGCAATGAGAATCATTGATCGGCTGCCTCCTGCAGACCCCCACTGGGGATCAAGCTTGCAACTCCAGGCCTGTGCCCTTGACTGGAATCAAACCTGGGATCCTTCAGTCTGCAGGCTGAGGCTCTATCCACTGAGCCACACCAGCGAAGGCTCCAAAGTGTTGGTGAGTCCCAGCCCCCAGCTGTCAGACAGCTTCTCGCCTTAACCCTGGGGGGCGGGGGGAGGCACGCAGGGCCTGCAAAGAGGGGGGGCAGCTGGGGTCCCAATGCATCTCCCTGGTGAGTGGCCTGGGCGGGCCCCTGGGGGTTCCCCAGCCCCCAGGCCCCGGGGGAAAGGCCGGCAGGGAAGGCGGGCATGTCCCGGGCACCACGGGCACCTGTGTGCTCTGGGCTGTGACTCACTTCCCTCCGGGGAAACCTTTACCAGCTCCACCTCCCTCCCCGCCGCCTTATAGCTCCCCTCCCGCCTCGGAGAGCTGGGAGCAGCCCTGTCCTCCGTCCTCCCCACGCAGCCCCCCACGCTGGGCCATGGCGGCTCCGGGGGCCCCGGAGTCCGGCTCCATCCGGAACGCGGTGAACCACCGGGGCCAGGACTTCGAGATGCTCCGGCGTCGGTGCTTGGATGCGGGGGAGCTGTTCGAGGACCCCGAGTTCCCGGCGGGCCCGGCGGCCCTGGGACCCGGCTCCCCCCAGACCCCGGGCGTCGTCTGGAGGCGGCCCCCGGTAAGGGCCGGGCTGGCTGGGGCAGCCGGGCGGGATGGGGGCTGAGGCCCCGTCTGTGTCCGGCATCGGCTCTGGGCGGCCGGTCAGGGCCGCGGACAGACCCTGGCGCTGGGGTGGGAGGAGGAGGAGGAGGAGGAGGAGGAGGGTCCTGGCAGAGGCCGGCGCCCGGCTCACATGCTGGGAGCGTGTGTGCGAGTCGCCGTGGTCACCAGAGGGTGTGAGTGCAGAGCCTTCCTGCTCGGACCCACTCGCCGGAGCCGGAGCCGGCAGGGCCTGCAGGAGTCACGGTGTTTGGGGAGCGCTGAGGGCCTTATTGAGTGATGGTCAGCATCGCTAATGACAGACGTGGTTGTTATTCAGTGTCCTGTGTGTGTGTGTGTGTGTGTGTCTCTCTCTCTCTGTGCGTGTATGTCTCTTTGTGTGTGTGTGTGTGTCTTTCTCTGTGTGTGTGTATGTCTCTTTGTGTGTGTGTGTATATGTCTCTCTCTGTGTATGTGTATATATGTGTGTATGTCTCTATCTATGTGTATGTGTATGTGCGTGTGTGCATATGTCTCTGTGTGTATATGCGTGCATGTGTGTGCCCGTGTGTGTATGTGTGTATATGTGTGTATCTCTCTCTCTCTCTGTGTATGTGTGTGTATGTCTCTGTGTGTGTATATGTGTGTCTGTGTCTGTCTGTGTGTCTGTGTGTGCGTCTGTGTGTGTGTGTGTGTGTGTGTGTGTGTGTGTATACGCGCGCGCGTGCGCGTGCAGGGGAGGGTGTGGGGGGGAGCCTCCGGCCTCTTTTCAGCCTCTTTGGCTGTCAAACTGCTCTGTGTCTCTGATCCGAGTTCCAGAGAGAGGACTTCTGAAATGTTCTTCCGGCCTCGGCCGAGATGCCCTCTCCTTACAAACCTGGGGACACCTGTGGCCCCTGAGAGGTTCATAATGTGTTAGTCATCATGTCCCCGGGTGTTTTCCTCCTGGGTCGGGTGGTGGGGGAAGCCATCTTGGACCCTGTGGCCACCATCCCCGGGCACCATCTGACCCGTGTTTTGTCTCCAATTGCTTCCAGGAGCTGTGCCCCCGCCCCCAGTTCATCGCCGGTGGAGCCACCCGCGCGGACATCTGTCAGGGTGACCTGGGTGAGGAGCCGGGCCCGTCCTGCTTGTTTTGAACACACGTGACGTCAGATGAGGCTGTTACACGTGACCGCCTGTGGTTGCCTTTATGTGGCCATAATTGGCCCTATAACACGGCCACGTCTCTGCAATTAGGGACGGTCGTCATAGATGCTTTTATCGTTAGTAAGGGAGCAGGGGTGCCTCTCGCTAGCCAGGCTTCCTCTCAGGGGCCCGGGATCCCAGGTCTGAGAGGGCATCCCCCTCCCAGCCTCTCCTGTTCCCTCCAGGCGGCTGCAGTGACGCGTTGGAAATCATTTATTTTGCTCTGTACGTTCTGGCCTCAGGGGCCAGACCCCCGAGGTTGTCCGTGGTAGCGACCTGACCTTGAAGCACTCCTGATCCCCGTGGGCCTTGTGGTCGAGGGGGGACTGGACTGGCCTTTTGGGGGACAGGACTGGCCTTTTGGGGGACAGCGTGGCTCTGACGTAGATTGGCCGGGATTCTGAACCGACACACGGGGCAGGGAAGGAAAGGAAAGGGGGACACATCCCACTTGCGGAAAAGCAGTAAAACAACCCACATCTCAGCCTCCACCGGGACCCGATAACCTTCATCTTTTGGGGGTCCACTCCCCCTTTTTCCTCCTGGTTCTAGCCAGGAAAGTGTCTCCCATCACCTTTGTGATTTGGAAGGTCACAGGGCACCTCATTTTATTTAGTTTATTTTTTATTTTATTTTTATTTTTTAAAATAATCTTTGTAAAGTGAACACAATCTTTTTTTAAAAAAATATTTCTTTATTGATTTCAGAGAGGAAGGGAGAGAGAGAGAGAGAGAGAGAGAGAGAGAGAGAGAGAGAGAGAGAGAGAGAGAGAGAGAAACATCAATGATGAAAGAGAATCACTGATCGCTGCCTTCTGCACATACCTCACTGGGGTTCATGCCCACAACCCAGGCCTGTGCCCTGACCGGGAATCGAACCCGGGTCCCTTCAGTCCGCAGGCTGACTCTCTGTCCACTGAACCAAGCTAGCTAGGGCAGGGCACCTCATTTTACAGAGAAGAAGGGGGAGGGAGAGAGTGTCAGAAACATCGATGAGAGAGAAACATCGTTCGGCCGCCTCCCACACTCCCCACTGGGGATGTGCCCGCCACCAAGGTACACGCCCTTGATCGGAATCGAACCTGGGACCCTGGAGTCCGCAGGCCAATGCTCTATCTGCTGAGCCACACCGGCCAGGGCTGGGGTCTGCTTTCAGAACGGTGGTAGCTCGCTCTACGCTGGCAACACTGTGAAGGAGATATTCCGGGAAAGTGTTTGATCCTTCACTTACAGATACCATGGCGGGGGGCAGAGGGGGAGGAGGGGGTCAGGTGGCGGGTTCAGGGCTGGCTCCTGGTGGGATGGTCACAGGATTGAGGACCTTGTGGCTCGTCAGACATGCTGCTTTGTCAGCATCAGGGATGGTTTCTTGCTTCTGCAGCCCCCCAGCAGCCCCCCAAGACGGAGCCCGGGATCAGCGAAGGGCCTCTGTCCTCTGGGTAAAGGCCCCGTGTGCCCTGAGCTGCCCGCCCGCCCCCGTCTTGGCTGGGCTCCTGGGAGGCCCCGGGGGTGCCGTGTGGTCTGCTCTGTACGGTTGGGACCAGTGGCCCTCCTGGCCGATCCGGCCGTCTCCGTGCGGAGACGGACTTGGAAGGGAGAGAGAGCAGGCCCCCGCAGGCCCGGCCTGACCGGCCTGTCCCCACGGCCCCGGCAGGTGACTGCTGGCTGCTGGCGGCCATCGCGTCCCTCACGTTGAAGGAAGAGCTGCTGTACCGGGTGGTGCCCAGGGACCAGAGCTTCCGGGAGAGCTACGCCGGAATCTTCCGCTTCCAGGTCAGTGCGTTTCGGGCCTGGACACTCGCTTCCGTCTCCCGATCTCATCTGCCCGATCAGAAGCTCTGGGGTGGGGCCCGGGAGCCTACGTTTTTATTCCTTTTTAAATATATTTTATTGATTTTTTACAGAGAGGAAAGGAGAGAGATAGTTAGAAACATCAATAGAGAGAAACATCCATCAGCTGCCTCCTGCACACCCCCTAATGGGGATGTGCCCGCAACCAAGGTACATGCCCTTGACTGGAATCGAACTTGGGACCTTTCAGTCCGCAGGCCGATGCTCTATCCACTGAGCCAAACCAGTTTTGGCTTATTGATTTTTTTTACAGAGAGGAAGGAAGAGAGAGAGAGAGAGAGAGAGAGAGAGAGAGAGAGAGAGAGAGAGAGTTAGAAACATCAATGAGAGAGAATCATCGACCAGCTGCCTCTTGCACACCTCCTACTGGGGATGTGCCCTCAACCAAGGTACGTGCCCTTGACCGGAATCGAACCTGGGACCCTTCAGTCCGCAGGCCGATGCTCTATCCACTGAGCCACACGGGTCCGGGCAGGAGCCTACGTTTTAATGGCCCCTCCTCTCCCTTGAGCTTGCGACCCATCCAGTCACCAGCACCAGTGGTCGGCAAACCGCGGCTCGCAAGTTCTTAGCAGAGGCCAGCTTAGGAGTCCCCTCATTAAGTCAATCACAATGTACCTACCTAGACAGTTTACGTTTAAAAAAATGGGGCTCCCCAAAGAAATGTCAACCGTTGTGCTGTTGATATTTGGCTCTGTGGACTCATGAGTTTGCCGACCACTGAGCTACACATCCACTCCCTCTCCCCCTCCCCCGCTTCCCCCTCCAGCTCCCCCAGGCCTCAGGGCCTCGAGGAAAGAGTGAGCCTCACAGAGGCTTCTCTGGGGTTCCCGCTGCCCCCAACTCCCCCCTGATCAGCGCCATGTCCCCCCCGCCCCCCTGCAGTTCTGGCAGTGCGGCCAGTGGGTGCAGGTGGTGGTGGATGACAGGCTGCCCACCCGAGACAGGCAGCTGCTCTTCCTGCACTCGGCCGACAGCAGCGAGTTCTGGAGCGCCCTGCTGGAGAAGGCCTACGCCAAGTGAGTGTGTGTGTGTGTGTGTGTGTGGGAGGCGCCGGGAGACCCCCAGTCTTCCCGGGCGATCGCCCCAGCCCCCTCGCCCCCAAACCCAAGGGGCCACGCCCAAATCTTTCCCTGCACCTGGTCCCCCATGGGCTGGGCCCTCGGTGACTGAGAGAGACAGAGACTCGGGCATGGAGTCGGCATGCTCAGCGCTGTCCCCAGGCACGTGTGAATGGGGGAGCCACGGCTGCCTCTTCTCTGACACCCCAGGGGCCGTGGGTGGGCCCACGTGGATTTGGAAAAGGATGGCAAAGAAGGAGAAGATGAGGAACAAGAACAGACCCAGAGATAAGGAGCCATGGGACGGACGGTCGGACCTCAGAGGGAGGGCGGGGGTAAAAGGGAGAGATCCACCAAAGGACTTGTGTGCACCCATAGGAGCCTAACCAGTGGTCAAGGACAATAGGGGGTGGGGTTGGGGGCATGAGTGGGGAGGAGGTGGGGAGTTGGAATGGGGCGTTGAGGACCAATATGTGATACCTTAACCAATAAAGAAATAAATAAAATAAGAGAAGAAGAAGGAGGAGGAGGGGGAGGGGGAGGAGGAAAAGGAGAAGGAGAACGAGAAGGAGAAGAAGGAGAAGGAGAAGGAGAAGGAGAAGGAGAAGGAGAAGGAGAAGGAGAAGGAGAAGGAGAAGAAGAAAGTGAAGGCACTCAGATTCCAAACTCGCCAGAGTCTACTGGCGGCTGGTCCAACCGTCCTCCTCTGCTGGCATATGACGCTCAGTGCCTTCTCCTGGGCTTAGCTTCCTTCCCTGGCACCCTCTCTGTGACCCCGGCTCCTCTCCGGCTGTGTCCCGCCAGCAGGTCCCTCTGGGTGCCTCTCAGCCTTGAGGGAGGGTCCTCCTCGTCCCTATTCCTGCCCGTCCCCCCAAACCCTCAGAACCCCAAGAAGCGAGGGTCAGCTTTGCACAGGGGACGCTTGGCAAAGGGTGGCCTGGGGGGAGGGGGTCGGAGATGTGCTTCTGGCTAGGTGCTGAGTTGGCCACGTGGAATGGTGGCCCAGCACCTTCCCTGTTACCTCCAGATCGAGCCTCGTCCCAGCGATATCCCCTCCCCCTGCTGCCTCCATGGCCAGTCCCTGGGGTTGCTCAGGGCAGTGGACGGTGCATGCCTTCTGTCCTCCTCAACAGGCTCAACGGCTCCTACGAGGCCCTGGCCGGTGGGTCCACGGTGGAGGGGTTTGAGCACTTCACGGGCGGCATCTCTGAGTGTTTTGACCTGAGGAGGCCGCCGACCGGCCTGTTCCAGATCATCCAGAAGGCGCTCCGGGCGGGCTCCCTGCTGGCCTGCTCCATCGACGTGAGTTCCCCTCCCCGTGGGCGGCCGGGTGGGGGCCGGGTGGGCCTGGGGCCGGCGCAGAGCCTGGGACTCGATGAGCAAGCCCAGTGGCACCCTGGTGGTCCCAGGTGGGTAGAAACTGGGGTGGGTCTCACAGTGGGAGCCCCTTTGGTACCAGGGACATGGCCCCAAGAATGCAGCTATGAGCCCTGGATAGCCTAACCCAGCAGCAAGCTAACCTACCGGTTGGAGCGTCTGTCCCCCAGTGGTCAGTGCACGTCATAGCAAGCGGTTGAGCGGTCTTAACATATCATTAGCCTACTACACTTTGATTGGTTGGATGGGCGACCAGATGACCAGGCACTTAGCATCGTAGGCTTTTATTCTATAGAAATATTCTGCCCACACTCGGCTATGCCTTGTTGCAAAGTCATGTTGGGATCTGGGGAAGTGGACGTGATGATTGACAATGGGATGGACTTGGAAGAAGCAAGAGGTTCTGAAACCAGGCCCACACCCTGGCGGGGGCTTGGCAGAATGGACGCCAAAGCAGCATGGAGACTCAGCTGCGGGGTCTGTGACCGCCCGCCTGCTCCTTCTCTTTCTCCCGCTCACTGGGGGCCTAGGCCCGTGGGGGACATGTGGGTGACACGACTCTGCGGAGATCCTAGCGGGATGCGTGTGTTTTTGGTGGGGGTGACATGGGGCATGAGGTGCAGAGGAGGCTGTGGAACAGGGCGGATGCTGGGAAGTTCAGTCCGAGAAAACAGTGAGACCCAGGACTCGCCCAGGGCAGCCATTCGGGGTCATTGTCCCTCCGGCAGGCAGCGTGACGAATGAGTTCCCGGACATTAAAAAAATATATATTTCATTGATTTTTTTACAGAGAGGAAGGGTGAGGGATAGAGAGTTAGAAACTTCGATGAGAGAGGAACATCCATCAGCTGCCTCCTGCACACCCCCCACTGGAGATGTGCCTGCAACCAAGGTACATGCCCTTGGTCGGAATCGAACCTGGGACCCTTCAGTCCGCAGGCCGACGCTCTATCCACTGAGCTAAACCGCTTTTCGCTTCCCTGACATTTTAAAGGCTTGGCAGCCACACAGCACGCTGCCTGGAACTGCAGGTCTCATGAAAACGTGGGGGGAGGGGGGAGGTAGGGGGGAGAGGGGGGTTGCATGGAGAGTTCCCTTTCCCTGCACCCAGCCCCACCCCGAGGCCCCGGGGCCGGGCGGCGTGTCCGTGGGCAGCCCTGCAGGACCAGCCCCTCAGGGTCAGGGGCGGCCGCCCTGAGTGGACTCGGCTCCCCACGCAGGTCTCCAGCGCGGCCGAGGCGGAGGACGTCACCCGCCAGCAGCTGGTGAAGAGCCACGCGTACTCGGTCACGGGGGTCGAGGAGGTAGCACCGGGCGGGGGGTGTGTGTGCGTGTGTGCGTGCGTGCGTGTGTGTCTGTGTGTGCGTGTGTGCATGCATGTGCGTGTGTCTGTGTGTGTGTGCATGTGTCTCTGTGCGTGAGTGCGCATGTGTGTGCACATGTGTGCATGCATGTGTGTGCGTGTGCATGTGTCTCTGTGTGTGAGTGTGTGCGCGTGCAGGTGTCTCTGTGTGTGCGTGTGTGCGCACGTGCGTGTGTGCATGTGTCTCTCTCTGTGTGTGTGCGTGTGCGCATGTGCATGTGTCTCTGTGTGTGCGCGCGTGTGCATGTGTCTCTGTGTGCGTGCGTGTGTGCGTGTGTGTCTGTGTGCATGCATGTGTGTGTCTGTGTGTGCGTGTGCATGTGTCTCTGTGCGTGAGTGCGCATGTGCGCGCGCATGTGTGCATGCATGTGTGTGCGTGTGCATGTGTCTCTGTGTGTGAGTGTGTGCGCGTGCAGGTGTCTCTGTGTGTGCGCGTGCGTGTGCATGTGTCTCTGTGTGCGCGTGTGCGTGTGTGTGCGTGTGTGCATGTGTGCGCGTGTGTCTGTGTGTGCGTGCGTGCGTGCATGCATGTGTGTGCGCGTCTGTGTGTGCACGCGTGACGGTGACCATCAATCAGTCCGGGCGTCCCTGAGAGAGGGTGGGTGCAGCTCGGAGGTGCAGACACGGGTGCGGGGCCGCCGGAGCCACCGTCGCCACGGCTTTTGCAGGTGGATGTCCGGGGGCGCCGGGAGGAGCTGATCAGACTCAGGAACCCGTGGGGCGAAGTGGAGTGGACGGGCGCCTGGAGTGACAGGTACGAGCTGTCCTCTCTCCCCCTTCCTCCCTCCACACCCCCCCCCTCCGGGGCGGGAGAGCGAGCGTGGCGCAGAGACACCATCGTGATGACCTGGGTGGCGTAGTGCGTTCCCCCATGCTTCCCATCCTCGAGTCATGCAGCCCGTCCGGAAAAGGGCGGCAGCCCTAACCGGTGTGGCTCAGTGGGCAGAGCACCGGCCTGAGGACTGAAGGGTCGCGGGTTCGATTCCTGTCCAGGGCACGTACCTGGGCTGCAGGCTCGATCCCCGGCCCTGGGACCATGCGACACATTGATATTTCTCTCTCTCTGTCTCTCCATCTCCCTTCCATTCTCTCTTTAAAAGAAAAAAAAAATGAGCGGGAAAAATATCTCTGGGTGAGGATTAACCAAAACAAACTAACAAACAAAAAAAATCATTGCCGAAACCGGTGTGGCTCAGCGGATAGAGCGTCGGCCTGCGGGCTGAAGGGTCCCAGGTTCGATTCCGGTCCAGGGCATGGACCTTGGTTGCGGGCACATCCCCGGTGGGGGGTGTGCAGGAGGCAGCTGGTCGGTGTTTCTCTCTCACCGATGTTTCTAACTCTCTATCTCTGTAGAAAAAATCAATAAAATGTGTTTTTAAAAAATCATGTAATTCCTCCCCCGCCCCAGTGCCCCTGAGTGGAATCACGTGGACCCCGGGAAGAAGGAAGAGCTGGAGAAGGAGGCCGAGGACGGAGAGTTCTGGTGAGGAGCTGCCAGCCGGAGAGCTGCCTGTGGTGGGGTTCACCCCCCCCCCCCCCGTTCGGATGTGGGGCGACTCCCTTGGGTGTTGGAGAAACTCACGTGGTTCCGGCCAGGGCTGAGGGCCTTCCCTCCTCCTCCCCCTTCCCCCGGCTGCATGATTCTGCCTCTGAGCCAGGATGCCCAACGCCTTGGCAGTGCCAGCCCCAGGCCCTCAGCACCTCGCTCTCACCTGCCTGCCTCCCCCCTCCCCCTTTAAAAAAAAAGAATATATATATATTATTGATGTTTTACAGAGAGGAAGGGAGAGAGAGAGAAACATCGATGAGAGAGAAACACCGATCAGCTGCCTCCTGCACACCCCCCACTGGGGATGTGCCCGCAACCAAGGTCCATGCCCCTGACCGGTATCGAACCTGGGACCCTTCAGTCCGCAGGCCGACGCTCTATCCACTGAGCCACACCAGTTTCGGCTGCCTGCCTCCCCGTATCTTCCCAAAGGAACGAGCCTCCTCCCGGGTCTCTGACCTCGGGCTCAGCTCCCCCTCGAAGGGAGACAGGTCCCTGGCGGGTGGGCCCAGGCAGGTGCTCAGGATGTGGCCTGGCTCAGAGGACAGCCCTGAGGATGAAGTAGGGGGGGTCTCGTTAGGGGGGACCCCAGTTCAGGCTTCATTCCCTTTGCCTGCCTGCTGAGATGTCTGAAGGGCTCCCGAGGTAAGAGGAGAAGCTAAGGATGGGGAGGAGATGGGACCGCAGCCCCTGTGTTTGTTGCATCTGTGGGCTGTAGGAAAGCAGAGCAGCCGGAACCAGTGTGGCTCAGTGGCTAGAGCGTCGGCCTGCGGACTGAAGGGTCCCAGGTTCGATTCCCGGTCAAGGGCATGTACCTTGGTTGTGGGCACATCCCCAGAGGGGAACGTGCAAGAGGCAGCTGATGGATGTTTCTCTCTCATTGATGTTTCTAACTCTCTATCTCTCTCCCTTCCTCTCTGTAAAAAAAATCAATAAAATATATATCTATAAAAAAGAAAGAGCCGAAACCGGTGTGGCTCAGCAGATAGAGCATCGGCCTGCGGACAGAAGGGTCCCAGGTTCGATTCCGGCCAAGGGCATGCACCTTGGTTGTGGGCACATCCCCAGTAGGAGGTGTGCAGGAGGCAGCCGGTGGATGTTTCTCTCTCATCGATGTTTCTAACTCTCTATCCCCCTCCCTTCCTCTCTGTAAAAAAATCAATAAAATATATTAAGAAAAATAAAAATAAATAAAAAAAGAGAGAGAGAAAGAAAGCAGAGCACTAGCCCCATTGCCTGTTCCCTGTACCCAGGAGGCACCCTGCGCCCCCCTCCCCCCCCTCCTCCTCGCCCCCCGCCAGCCCAGCGCTCTGACGGCCCCTCTGTCCCCGCCCCAGGATGTCCTTCGCGGAGTTCCTGCGGCAGTTCTCCCGCCTGGAGATCTGCAGCTGGTCCCCCGACTCCCTGAGCCGCGAGGAGGGGCACAAGTGGGACCGGGTGCTGCTCCCTGGCCGCTGGGCCCCGGGCTCCACCGCCGATGGCAGCCAGGGCCCCCGAGGTGAGTGTGGGGCCCAGGCCCTCCCGGCGTGGCCTCCCGCGGGGCCCGTACAGGTTCCTCTGCGGGCAGCGCCTTTGCCCTCCGCTCTCCGGCCTCGGCACCGCTCAGGCCCGTGGCCCCCGGGCGTGGCAGCCAGGACGTGGGCTGGTCTCACCGGAGGCCCGACCTCAGCAAGGGTCATTCTCCAGCTTCTGGTCCAAACTGTCCCTGTTTCACCCCCTGCCCCTGCCCCTGCCCCCTGCCCCTCTGCTCCCCTGCCCCCTGGGTACCTGCGCTGAGGCCTCCGGCCATGCCCACCTGCCTAGCTGGCTGCTGAGCTGGGGCTGCCGTGGCTGATGGCATGGGGAGGGGTGGGGAGGTGGGGAGGGAGGAAGCCTGTTGTTCTGATTGCCCGCATCCGTCCCAGGGGCCATGTCTCTGTTTGCACCTGAGCCTGAGGTGGGGGGCCTTGACCTTGGGGGTCCAGGGTGGCCACACAAGGCCTGGGAGTGGCCCCTCTCGCCCTCACGGGAGGCACTGGCGCCCCCTCCCCGGTGGGCACGGTCTCTGCACGCAGCCCGGCTTGTTAGGAGGGTGGGCAGCCGCCCAGTCCCCAGCCAGGGCTAACACACATGTGTCCAGGCTCCTCCTAGGTCCTTGCAGCAGGGGTGGCCCCGGAGGAAGACACCCCGAAATGAGGCACCCACATCTCTCAGGAGAAGGAGGCGAATCTGCTGCTTCTTCCACTTCCCGCCTCCCCAGGCCCCGAGCACCCTCTGGCCTCGGGGCGGTGACGTGCTTGTGGGGCTGTACCCGGAGCTGTGGGAGCAGCGTTACAATAAAATCCCCCCTGAGTGCAGGCCTCGGTCTTTTTTTTTTTTTTTAAATTAAATATGTTTTTATTGATGTCAGAGAGGAAGGGAGGAGAGAGAGAGAGAGAGAGAGAAACATCCATGATGAGAGAGAGTCATGGGGATCGGCTGCCTCCTGCATGCCCCGTACTGGGGATCAAGCCCACAACCCGGGCCTGTGCCCCTGACTGGGAATCGAACCTGGGAACCCTTCAGTCCTCAGGCCGGTGTTCTATCCACTTAGCAACACCAGCCAGGGCGAGCCACTGTCTTTTAAGCTGTGTTACACGTACATTGAATCTGGCCACTGGACATCCCAGTGTGCTTTGTGAGGCCATCGCCATGAGGCGTGGACACCTGCCCTGCCATGCAGGGCGCCGCCAGCGCCCATTGGTGCCTGCGTTTCAGCTCTTCCTGCTCTTTCGGCAGCAGCACCTGGAGCTGAGCTGAGCCCCGGTGCACCTGCATGCGCACGTGGATGCAGAAACGTGTCCAAGAATCAAACACGGCCGGCCATGCTCAGCCAATCGCGGAGTCTCGCTTGGGAAGAGGCTGAGCTCCCAGAAGTCTCTGAGACACATGCACACACACGTGCACGCACACACACACACACACACACACACACACACACAGACGCACCTGCCCGCAGACCTGCACCGGGGAACGCACCTCGGGAGTCCCAGGTGAGGTTCAGATTCCTCCGTCTCTAATTGCGATGATTAAGGACCTGCAGGCTGTCTTGGGCAGCAGCCCCAAAGGTATAAGAAAAAAAAAAAAAAGGAGTTGAAACCCCTCGGGTGACCTTTCAGGTGGGAAGAAGGTGGAATAAAAACGACGACTGCTAGCCGAAACCGGTGTGGCTCAGTGGATAGAGCGTCGGCCTGCAGACTGAAGAGTCCCGGGTTCGATTCCGGGCAAGGGCATGTACCTGGGTTGCGGGCACATCCCCACTGAGGGGTGTGCGGGAGGCAGCTGGTCGATGTTTCTCTCTCATTGATGTTTCTGACTCTCTGTCCCTCTTTCTTCCTCTCTGTAAAAAAAAAAAAAAAATCAATAAAATATTAAAAAAGTTAAAAACAAAAAACGATGAATGCTAATTGGCTTACATTCTTCAAAATTATTCCTAGCTGCTGCTTCTCCCCACCCCACCCCTTTCTTTTACGTGTTCAGAAGCAGGTTATATCCATGTCACCCCTGTTTTTGTCAGACATTAACCCAGGCCGTCCATTAGCACGACGCTCTGCCTGCTTCACGGAACACCTTAGCAGAGGTTTCCATTACTGGGACGAGACAGTCATAGAAAAGATGATTTAATGAAAGCAACCCTGTTATTTGCAATCCGGGCCGGCCTGCCTGCAGCCGCCGGGAGAGGGCCTGAAGGTCGCTGAAGAGCTCGGGGGAGTAATTACCGCGTCGACACTGCGCCCCGGGACCCGGGCTCCAGTGACTTCAGGGTCCCCCAATACAGCTGCCCCAGGGAGGAGCAGCCGGCTCCGGGGAGAGGCGGGAGGAGGGGTGACAACCGAGGCCCCCAATCCCTTGTCTTTCCTGGAGGAATCCCCAGAGAAGGGGACATGAATGGGTGTGCTCTAGTGGTGGAGAGGGTTTTGGGAGGGTTCAGACCATGGAAGCTGAGTCCAGAGCTGTTGGCCTGGGTATAAAAATGACAAATGGCCGACACCTGTTTGGCTCAGTGGATAGAGCGTCAGCCTGCGGACTGAAAGGTCCCAGGTTCGATTCTGGTCAAGGGCATGGACCTTGGTTGCGGGCACATCCCCAGTGGGGGGTGTGCAAGAGGCAGTTGATCGATGATTCTCTCTCATCGACGTTTCTAACGCTCTGTCCCTCTCTCTTCCTCTCTGTAAAAAATCCATAAAATATATATATTAAAAAAAAAGACAGATGGTTTTACATCTGTCATCCTCCCCCCCCCCCACAAAGCACGTGACAGAACAGCAGGTGGGCACGTGACCTCGTGCACAGAGAAGTGTCCCTCTATGTGTGGGCAGTGGGTCTAGAGTCTGGAGCCACCCTCACTCAGGTCCTCCTGGGCGCCCCCCCACAAAATCGGGGGGCAAACTCGGTGACATAGTTGGTGATTGGGTGACATATTTGGTGATTCGGTGACATATTTGGCAGGTGCTGTTGAGGTCCCACCGAGGGGCCGTCTGGAGTGATGGAAGGAGAAGTGATGGGACGGAGGGGCCTGCTCCTCGCTCTGTTCCCATGGCGCTGCCCCAGGCGACGCTCAGAAAATGTGAAGGGAGCCCTGACCGGTGTGGCTCAGTGGATAGAGCGTCGGCCTGCAGACGGAAGGGTCCCAGGTTTGAGTCCGGTCAAGGGCGTGGACCTTGGTTGCGGGCACATCCCTAGTGGGGAGTGTGCAGGAGGCAGAGCTGATCGATGTTTCTCTCTCATCAATGTTTCTAGCTCTCTATCCCTCTCCCTTCCTCTCTGTGAGAAATCAATAAAATATAAAAAAAAGAAAAGGCAAAGGGAGGTTGCGAAGAGGGATGTGGTATTTCTGTGTTGGAGCCTGGGATCGGATCAATAGACAGCTCACCGGGGACTCGGGCTGCCTTGCTGTCTGTCTAGGAGGTCAGGGGTACTGGGGGGTAAAGGGGGGGCTGCCTGGCACTAACTAGGTCAGAGGTGCAAGGGTCCTGCCTTGAAATAAGTTACCTGGATCTGTTTGCATGTGCCAGGAGGTCCCGGGTCCCAGGTGGCACCTGCCCAGTGCCCACCGCTGGGATCTGACGGGCAGGCGGAGAGGCAGGGCGATGAGAAATCTGCTTGTGGAACAGAGAAATCCTGAGGAAGAGAATGGGTCATCCCAGTGTGGGCTAGTGCCCGAGGGGAGGCCGATTCTGAATGCTCACTCTGTGCCACTCTCTGCCAAAGTGTGGTACACGCACCGCCTGGGGTACGGGAAGAGTTTGGTGGGGATATGCACTTCACCGTGCTTAGCTGCGCCGAATTCTACGTTCTCATGAGCACGAGGGGTACTCAGTGTTACGAAAATTACAGAAGGGGGTACACATATGTCAAAAGTTTGGGAAACACTAGGTCTAGGCCAATGGTCAGCAAACTCACGAGTCCACAGAGCCACATATCAACAGCACAACGATGGACATGTCTTCGGAGAGCCACATTTTTTAAAACTTCAACGTCTTCTAACGCCACTTCTTCAACATAGACTCGCCCAGGCCTCGGTATTTTGTGGAAGAGCCACACGCAAGGGCCCAAAGAGCTGCAGGTGGCTCGCGAGCCGCAGTTTGCCGACCACTGGTGTGGGCTCAGGGAGATCTTTAATGAGAAACCCGGGCTTGTGTGCACGAACGTCCTGTTTCCCGCCAGGTTTCCTGTTGGGAATGGCAGCCTATTCGTCTTCATCAAGAGTTTAATAGTAGCCAAAAGGCCTCAGGTTCGATTCCGCTCAAGGACATGTACCTTGGTTGCGGGCACATCCCCGGTAGAGGGTGTGCAGGAGGCAGCTGGTCGATGTTTCTCTCTCATCGATGTTTCTGGCTCTCTATCATTCTCCCTTCCTCTCTGTAGAAAATCAATAAAATATATTTTAAAAAAGAAAGAAAAAAAAAAATCACACTAGTTTAAATTAGGCCAGTAGGGGGGTGTGCAAGAGGCAGCTGGTCAACGTTTCTCTCTCATCGATGTTTCTAGCTCTCTCTCCCTTCCTCTCTGTAAAAAATCAATAAAACATATATTTTTTAAAAAAGACACAAAGGCCAAGGCATGCCCTCCACCCCCCCCCCCCCAACTTATATCCCCAAGTTTCCCGGCGTATAAATCGACTAGCGCATGAGAGAGGAAATTGCAGCTATTTTATACATTTCCCCCCCCTTAAAATCCATGCTCAAACGTACAGTCAGGTTATAAAAGCAATCCCATGGCCACGTCTCCTGCCCGCGGGTTCTCAGTAGCCGCCGCCTCGGAGCTGCGCCTTTTGGAAACCCTCAGAGGCGGCCTCCTTGTCCTGGGCCAGCTGCTCCGTCCTCTGCTCCTTCTTGCGGATGGCCTCCTTGATGCCCTCCACGTGGCACTTCTCCTCCTTCTCGGCCTTGAGCTTCAGGACATGGTGGCTCTGCTCCCGCCGCAGGCGGAGCTCCCGGGCCTGCTGCACCTTCTGCTCGGCCGCCAGCCGCCCCAGCAGCCGCCGGCGCACCCGCCGCTGCTCCTCCAGCTCCTGCTGGCACTGCTCCTCCTCCTGCTCCTGCAGCTCCCACAGCTCCCGGTGCAGCTGCTCCCTCCCCGCCAGGCCCCTGTGCAGCTGCTCCTGCGCCCGCTGCGCGCTCTGCTCCAGCGACAGCCGGCGCAGCAGCTCCTCGGCCTTCACCTGGCAGTCCATGAGCACCTTGCGCGCCTGGAAGTTGACCAGGGAGCTCAGGTTGGCCTCGCGCACCTTCTTGTGGCCGCCGCTAGGGGGCGCCTGCTGCTTGGGACACGTCGTGGCCGTCGTGGTGATGGTGGTCGTGGACGGCACCAGCCTCCTCGCCGGCGGCGGCGGCTGCTGCTGCTGCTCCAGGCTGGGCTGCTTCCGCTGCTCGGACAGCGTCTTCTCCAGGTTCTTCTCCAGCTCCAGCTCCTGCTCCAGCTCCTGCTCTCGCTCCCGGAGGCGCTGCACCGGGCCCGGCCTCCTGGGCTTGGGGGTGGGGGCGGGCTCCGGGCGGGCCCGCGTCTTCTCCAGGTTCTTCTCCAGCTCCTGCTCCAGCTCCTGCTCCAGCTCCAGCTCCCAGAGGCGGCGCCGCTGCACCGGGCGGGGCCTCATGGGCTTGGCCACCCGCTCCTGCCTGTCGTGGCGCTGCTGCTGCTGCTGCTGCGCATCCCAGCCGTGGTCCTCGGGCACCCCCCACAGGTCGTGCCTGGCTTGGCCGTCGCGCGCCCTCGGGCGGGCCCTGCGCTGCTCCCCGCGCTGCTCCCCGCGCTGCTCCCCCCGCTCGCGCTGCTCCCGCTCGCGCTGCCACTGCGCGCGGCTCTGCTGCAGCAGCTGCCGGCGCTCGCGCTCCAGGGTCGCCTGCACCTTGCGGTCCGAGCGCTTGAGCTCCTCCCAGGCGGCCGCCGCCTGCCGCTGCAGCTCGCGCATCCGCTGCGCCTTCTGCAGCCGCGCCAGCACCAGCGCCACGATCTTGCGGTCGCGGGAAGACAGCACGGCCTCGTCCAGCTTGTTCTTGAGCATCTGCGTGTGCAGGCTCCTGGCCTCCCTGCCCGAGCACGCGGGCTGGAGGAGGGCCTGGCTGGCGAAGGAGGCGGCCAGCCGGTCCCCGAGGTCCCTCTTGGGGCCGTGCGCGCAGCCGGACAGCATCCTGAACTCGCGGGAGGGCGCCGCCGAGGACCTCTCCTCGGAGGGCAGCGAGGACAGGGACCAGCGGTCCAGCCCCCCGGCCCCCGCCGGCAGCGCCCAGGGGTCCCCGATCTGCGCCTCGTCCGCCCCGAACAGGCCGCTCAAGGGGGTGCAGGCGCCCTCGGGGTACGGCGGGGGCGAGTCCCCCTGCGCCGGGGGGCAGTGCGGGCAGCGCAGCGGCGGTTGCGGGGGTGATGCCAGCTGGACCGGGAGGGGCTGCGTCCTGGGCTCCCCCCAGGCCTCCCGGGGGCGCCAGCTGCGCGGGGGCCGGTGTCTCCGGGCGCCGCCGCCGTCGGGGGGCCTCTGCGCCGCCGCCACGTCGCTCAGGCTGCGGCTCTCCCGCGGGGAGTCCGGGGGGGACTGGTGGTGATGGTGGCGGCGGGGAGGCCAGGGGGTCCCCGCGGCCTCGCTCCCCTCGCCGCCGCCGCCGCCGGGGGTCCCGGCCCGGCAGCCCCGAGCCGGCCGGGTGTGCGCCCCCCGGGGCCTGGGCTCCCGGAGGTCCCGGTGGTGGGAGAAGCGGCCGAAGTCCTCCATGGTTCTCCCTGAGCCGCCAGGGGGCGCTGCCGGGCCCCGCGCTGCCCTGCGATCCCTGGGGCTGGGGAGTAGGGGGTGGGCGCTTATGACGCTCTGGCCACTTCACAATGCCTCTGGCACCGCCGGGTTCCCCAGCCCCCCAGCCTTAGACCATGGCCACCCCACTCCCAGCCCCCCCCTCCAGGACCCTATACCTGGGGGCGGGGACTCGGGGGACACGGGGGCTGTAGGAAATCAGGGTGACCCTTAAAGCTGGGGGTTCCTAGTGAACTTAATACCGTTATTTTGTAGGCAGGAAATATTTTTTAAAATATATTTTAGGGGGGGGGACTCAGGGGACAAGGGGGCTGTAGGAAATCGGGTGACCCTTAAAGCTGAGGGTTCCTAGTGAACTTAACACCGTTATTTTTGGCAGTAAATTATATATATATATATCTATATCTATATCTATATCTATATCTATATCTATATCTATATATATATATATATATATAAATTTTTTTTTACAGAGAGGAAGGGAGAGGGATAGAGAGCTAGAAACATCAATGAGAGAGAAACATGGGCCAGCTGCCTCCTGCACGCCCCCCACTGGGGATGTGCCCGCAACCAAGGTCCATGCCCTTGACGGGAATCGAACCTGGGACTTTTCAGTCCGCAGGCCGACGCTCCATCCACTGAGCCACACCGGTTTCGGCTAAATGGTTAGTTTTTAAAAGTCAGCTCTGCTGCACAATTTCTCAAGAATCCAGTTCTTTCATGCCCCGCCTTCGAGTTCTCCTTGACTCGCCCAGGGAAACGGATGCCTCCAGGGACAGTACCTGAGAAAACACAGCAGGCACCTCTCTACTCACCAACAATAGCAGACCCATAAAACAGTAAAAAAACACACACACAAAAAAAACAACAACAAACAAACAAAAACATATATTCCGTAAACACCCAGGACAGTCCGTGAAAAACTTATGCGAATCCAGTACTAAGGATGGAAATTGTAGATTATACGCTTTTTTCTTTTCCAGAAAAGCAGAAAATAGTGCTATAAGAGCCTGGGAACTAGGAAAGTTACGTTTCCATGGGAACAATCAGTTACCCACAAGGCCCAGTATTCCATGTGCATGAGGACTTGCGTGTGTTAAAATGATGGCTGACCCATATACGGAAACTCCAACACAACAACACGGCAACAGAGGGACTGTCCTCTCCTGAGTGTCAGAGGGAGAATCTCAAGATCAGGCGGGCAGCGGAGCCTGGATCAAATCCCGCCTCCCCCTTAACCTCCCCGTTGGGTGGTCTTCTGAGCTATCCTTGCATAAATATAGCCAGACCAAATCATGTGTGGCCGAGGGAGTGCGTATAGGGAGGGTAGATTTTAAATATTTCTAGTTTGTTCCATTTTAAGATGTTGGTGTTTCTCACATATGTCACCTTAATGCCATTAACAGCTGGAGATGGCAATGAATTAATTCTTTTACAAATATATTTTTTTTACTAGAGGCCCAGTGCATGAAATCCGTGCACTGGTAGGCTCCTAGTGGCTGCCGGCCCTGTGCCCTGGTCTAATTCCCGAATGAACTCTTGGGTGAGGGGACAATTTGCATTCTATGCTTTTATTCTATAGGACTGATTTTGAGAGAGAGAGAGAAAAAGGGAGAGAGAGAGAGAGAGAGAAAGAGAGAGAGAGAGAGAGAGAGAGAGAGAGAGAGGGAGAGAAACGTTGTTATGAGAGTGAAACATGGATCAGCTGCTTCCTGCGTGCCTCTACAGGGACCCGGCCTGCAACCCAGACATGTGCCCTATCCGGGAATCGAACTGGCAACCTTTGGGCGCATTGAAAGATGCCCAACTTACCCAGTCACCTGAGCCAGGGCAGCAGCAATCCTTCTGAGGAAAAGAAGGGCTCAGCATAAGTACTTTTGAAGCTTTTACTCCCACCGCAAGATAACAGAATGCGATTATAAGATCACTCAACAGTGACTCAGAGGCAGCGGGCTGCACGGCGAAATGATCGATTTTTGAAACTTAATCCCAGATGGTTTGTGAGGTTAAACACGGGAAGAGGTTTTCCTGATGGGGCCTTGGAGAAGACAGGTGCATGGAATAATCTTTCTCACTTGGGGTTACTTCTTCATCCTCAGCATGGCGTAAATATAATTAGATTTTTTTTTTTTTTTAAAGAATGAGCTTTACTGAAACTTAAAAAAAAAAAAAAATGGGTGGGGTGGGTTTTTAAAAGTTCCGTGTTTTTGTTTTACTTTTTCTGTTTTGCTAAAACTGCGTCTGGAGTTTTTCACTCCCAAGGAAATGCGTTTTTTCAGAAGGGTCTCAGGGAGGGGAGGGAGAGAGAGGAGACAGCTCCTGGACAGGGCAGAGATGGATGGTCCCACCCCAGGCCTACCGAGTCTGTCCTCTGTGGAGGAGTGAGGAGTCTGGGTGGATGTGGCTACAGTTTGAGGACCACTGACTGCCCCCCTCTCCCTCCCCTCCCTCCATTCCTTCCTTCTCCTGCAGAGCAGTTCCCAACAGCTCCGTCCAGGCAAGCACTTGTGTCCTGTAGCTTTAAGGGACGGCCTTGCGGCAGCTTGTGAGCCCATCTCTCTAGCTCCAACCGCTCTGATTTCCACGCCTGCTGGGTTCCCCTCCAGCTACTCAGACGCAACACTGCCCTCCTAAAACCTCCGTTGCAAACTGTGTTCCCTGTTTTTATTAGCAGCGGACAGCTTGGTCCCGAGACTGTACATCTTGATATTGACTCTGCGTCATCTTTCCTGCTCACCCTTAAGCCATGTGTTCCCTGAGATCTGACAGTCCCCCTCCTCAGAGCCTACCATGGCCATGGGCGTGGCCCCTGTTCACCTCATTTCCCCCCTCTCCCCCTGCTTTGTTTGTTTGTTTTTAATTGATTTTTTACAGAGAGGAAAGGAGAGGGATAGAGAGTTAGAAACATCGATGAGAGAGAATCATCGATCAGCTGCCTCTTGCACACCTCCTACTGGGGATGCGCCCGCAACCCAGGTACATGCCCTTGACAGGAATCGAACCCGGGACCTTTCAGTCCGCAGGCTGACGCTCTATCCACTGAGCCACACCGGTTTTGGCTGGCCTGTGGTTTTTTCATGCCACTGTCCTCCACCCCCTCTTCGGTTCCAGCCTTTACTCTTTCTACAAGACCAGTGTCTGATACATGGGTCATGATACTGTCTTGGATGGCTCCCACTGTCTTTTGAATGAAGTTTAAAGTCCTCAGTGTGATATGGAAGGTCCCTCATTGGACCTTCCACCATTATTTCTGACAGCTACCTCCCCCCAACCCGCCCCTACACACACACATACTCTTGAGGCACAAGGGGTTACCCATAATTCCCAAACACACCTTGATATTTTTGATATCATCTCTTATATTATTACTAGAGGCCTGGTGCATAAAATTCATGGGTCCCTAGGCCTGGCTAGTGATCCGGGCTGATCCGTGGGGCGACTGGCAGGGCAATCGGGGTCCCCCCCTTCCCCCAGCTGGCACCTGCCTTGGCTGGCCTGGGGTCCACAGGCTGGGGGAAGCTCCTGTGTTGAGTGTCTCCCCTGGTGGTCAGTGTGCATCATCACAACGAGTCATTCCACTGGTTGTTCCAGCATTCTGTCGATTTGCATAGTAGGCTTTTATTCTATAGGATGGCTTCTATAGAATTAAAATGATTCATTTAATTAATAAAAAAACAAATCATGATATAAAGCCCTTGGCGAAAACTTTCCTAGAGCAGCACCTCACACATAGTAGGACTCAAGACATACTTGTTGAATGAGCGGGTGACCGAGTAGACATATCGTCCATAGACAAAGTGTAGATTTAGGTCCATAACTGGGAGCGTCTTGCAGGCTGAGCTGGTATCCGTTTGCATTTCATGGATTTGCATCGTGTCGGCATATCTAGGCGCTCAGGACATGCTGGCTGCATGCTGGGTAAGTTCCAGTGAGGTTTGTTCCCTCCCACGCCTTCCCTTGGTGCTAAGGATTAGACTTCCCGGAGAAAGAAACTCATGCCAAGCTGACAGCGGGTTTTTATTTATTTTCATTTTCTTGTTAATCCTCACCCGAGGATGTTTTTTCCATTGGTTTTTAGAGAGAGAGAGTGGAAGGGAGAGGGAGAGACAGAGAGAAACAATGATGCGAAAGAGAGACACATCGGTCGGTTGCCTCCTGCACGCACCCTGACCAGGCCCCGGGGGCCCTGAAACCAAGGTACAGGCTTTCAGAGGCCATGAACTTGTGCCGGTCAGAATCTTACAACGATCCCGTACGGAACCGCCACCTCTGGTTTTGCAAAGCAAAGATACATATATAAATAACCACGCCGCGTTTGAGGTGGCTCCTGGAAGTTAATCTATCCCGAAGGACGTGTTTTAAAAATCCCAGGAAGAGTCGGCCCAGGAAAAGCTGTAATACCAGGGTGTGAGATTTTGGGGAAAAGTCAGCAGGTTTGGTGGTGGCATCAGGAACATGGCATGCATAGCCACAAATCGCTCCAGACTACTGGGCTGCCACAGGTTTTGAAGCGCAGCCTGCCAGTATTAGCTCATCAGCACACACACACCCGTTAACTGCCGTGGCTGTGATTCTGGCCAGAGAGCCAGGCCGGCTGAGAAAGGCCAGTCTTGGGGGGACAGCAGGTGGCCAGAGCCAGCGGGGATGGAGAGTCGCACCCGCTTGGGGGGGGGGGGTAAGCACGGGCACCACAAGGGCTGGGAGAGCAAACACTTTGGATCCCCAGAGGCCTGGTCCTTGGCACCCAATTTCCTCCCATGGCGGCTCGGGCCATTCTTCCCCTGACCACCAGAGGGCGCCCCGGAGCGGAGAGGTTCAGAGGGACCAGTGCGTCCCCAGGAGCTGGGGAGGGGGGCGCGTCTCCATCGGGATCCAGGGCGCGCGCAGAGCCTCGGCGTTGGGAAGGGGGAGAGGGACATACGGACCTCGACGCTGTAATATGAGAGACAGCAGCAATCGGCCTCCACGCTAACCCCGTGGGTGGTGAGGGTCAGGGCGCACCCCCATCGCCCGGGCCGGCGCCACCGCCGGGCAGCAGCCTGCATGGGGGCGCTTTCCCGCGCTGCCCGGTTGCCCGGGGCCCCGGGCACCCCGTGGAGACCGCTGCGGGCTCCGGGCTCCGCTCAGCCGGGGCGGGGGGGGGGGGGGGGGGAGGGGGATCGCCGTCCTGCTCCGGGGAGGGGCGCCCGGCCCCCCGCGCGCGCGCGGGTGCGAGAGCGTCTCCGGCTCCGAGCGCCCGGCAGGGGCAGGCGCGTGCGCTTCCCATTGGCCTGTGAGATCTCTCTTCTTTACCTTTAAATTTTACGTTTAAAAAATTCCCCCTTCTGGCCGAGACCGGTTTGGCTCAGTGGCTAGAGCTTCGGCCTGCGGACTGAAGGGTCCCTGGTTCGATTCCGGTCAAGGGCATGTACCTTGGTTGCCGGCACATCCGGGGTGTGTGTGTGTGTGTGTGTGTGTGTGTGTGTGCGTGCGCAGGAGGCAGCTGATGGATGTTTCTCTCTCATCGATGTTTCTGGCTCTCTATTCCTCTCCGTAAAAAATCAGTAAAAATACAGTAAAAATATATTTAAAAAAAAAATCCCCCTTTGCCTCGAGGCCTCCGCTCTGCCCAGGCCCCATCCCTCCCCCATCCCTCCCTCCTCCTTCTATCCCTCCCCCCTCCCTCCTTCCTCCCTCCTCTCTCCTCCCCTCCCTCCCTCTGAGCCGCCGAGGCCCCCTACCTCCTTCCTCCCTCCTTCCCTTCCTCCCTCCCTTCCTTCCTCTCTCTCCCCCTCTCCCCTCCCTTTCTCCCTCCCTCCGTCCCTCCCTCCTTCCCTCCTTCTGCCTCCCCCCCTCGCCCCCCTCCTGCCGCCGGGCTCGCGGGCGCAGGTGCGGGGCCCGCGGGCGCCTCCTTCCTCGGGGGCGCGCGCTCCGGCGGCTGCGGCGGCGGCGGCGGTCCCCCCTCCCCCCGCGCCCAGCGGCTCCGGGGCCCGGGAGGCGGGGACGGGGGGGGGGGCCTGGGGAGGAGGGGACTGGGGGGGGGGGGTCCCGGGGAGGCGGGGCCGGGGGGGGAGGGCCCGGGGAGGCGGGGCCCGGGGGGGGCCGGGGAGGCGGGGCCGGGGAGGGGGGGACCAGGGGGTGCCCGGGAGGCGGGGACTGGGGGGGGCCGGGGAGGCGGGGACTGGTGGGGGGGGGCCCGGGGAGGCGGGGACCGGGAGCCCGAGCCGGCGCCGCGGCTCCCGTCTGTCTCCCTCCGTCTCCCTCCGGCTCGCGCGGCGGAGGTCGCGCTCCGATGCGGGTGCGCCGGGCGCGGGGAGGCGGCGGCGGCGGCGGCGGCGGCGGGGAGGGAGCTGCCCGCATGAGACCCGCAGGTAAGACCCGGGGAGGGGGATCCCCGCCCCGAGGGGGGCGCTGCGTCCCGGGAGGCGCGCGCAGGCCTGGGGGGGGGGGGGGGACTGGGTGCCCGGTGCTGCCCGTGCCCCAGAGCGCAGGGGAGGGACAGGTTTGGACCGCGCAGAGCCGTCGCGTGGGGGACCAGGCCAGGGGACGACCCCCATCCCCATTCCCGTCCCCGTCCCCGTCCTCGTCCCCGTCCCCGTCCCCGTCCCCATCCTGGGGAGAACCAGACAAGTATCCTGGGGGCCCCGTGGGGTCCCTGAGAGTGGCCTGCCCAGGCAGGGGGGGGGGGGAGTGGGGTGTGCAGACTTCCCGGTCATGGTCATGGTCACGGCCGCGGGGTCCCGGCCCCTCTCCCCGCCTCCCCCCTCCGCACGCAGCATCCCATCCTCCCGCAGCGGCTGCACCCCGTGTCCCCGCGCTGGGGGAGCGGGAACAGGATGGGGGGGTGCAGTGATTGCGCCGGGAAAGGGGGCTGGGGAGGCCCGGAGATGGAGCCGGGGAAGCCGACCCCTCCTCCTATGCCCTCCCCTGGCCCCCTGGTCCCACCTCGGAGCAGCGGCAGGGTGGTCCCCCGCCCAGCCCAGCAGCCCGGGGTACAGTCCTGTGCGCCCCGGTTGCAGGCGCCTGCCAGCCGGACGCCCCGCGCGGATGAAAGATGTGTCATGGAATGAACCCGGGCCCTGGAGATGGGTTTCTAGAGCAGCAGCGGCGGCAGCAGCAGCAGCAGCAGCCGCCGAAGCCTCAGTGCCCCCAGAGGCTCCTGGCCGTGATCCTGTGGCTCCAGCTGGCCCTGTGCTTCGGCCCCGCGCAGCTCACAGGGGGTGAGTGAGTGACCCCTCCGGCTGCGGCCCCAGGGCCCACCAGCCTCTCCCCCTACCCCCCTACATCCAGACGTCTGGGTACCCCAGAACCGGAGGAGCCCCTGTGTCCCAGCCTGAGGACACCCTTTTCCAAAAACCCTGGAGTTCCATCCCCCGACCCCCCCAAATTCTTCTGGAACCCCGCACAGCGTCAACCTCCCCCCCCCACCCCCCATTCTGCCTGGAGCTTCCCCTCAGCTGCCCAGCAGCCTGACTTCTGGTTTCTCTAAAGCACATGTGTCAAACACAAGGCCCGCGGGCCAAATCCGTCCCGCCAGGCCTTGCAATGTGGCCTCCACCGCGCTGTCATCACTGCACTCCGCTGCGTTTCCATCACAATGACAGTTTATGACTGTTCAGTAAACCATTCGGCCCGCGATTTAGGCTGGATTTTAGATTTTGGCCCCTTCTCTGATTGAGTTCGACACCCCTACTCTAAAGGAAAGACAATAAGGCTGACCTGTTATTCTTATTTGGGGGGGGGGGAGGGGGGAGAGAGGGGGGGTTTATGGGTAATGGGTGCTTGAGGATCTCTGACCTTTGCAGACACGGTCAGGTTTCGGCTTCCAGACCTCCTTTGTGAATGAATGTGAAGGGTCCGGTCAGACTGGCTGCAGCCAGGTCTTCCCTGAGACTTGACTCTCCCCTTCCTCGTCTGTGCGCGTCGGGGCGGGGAGGGGGGCCGCAGAGGTGTCCCCCAGACGTGTTTCTGGAGGGCGGCTCGGCCTCTCCAGGCCTGGCTCACAGGAAGTGGAAGCGAGCTGAGGAAAAGGTGGTGGCTCGGACCCCATAGCCAGTCCCGGGGCAGGGGTTGTGGTGGATGGAGGCAGTGAGATGGAGGTCCCGTCCGGATTTCAGGGCCTAAGACTCTCTCTGCCGCCCGGTGGCTCCTCGCTATGTCCATCACTGCTGTCCATGCCGGGCTTTCCGTGAGAGCTCGCGGAGGTGTTTGGCTGAGGAGGACAGAGAGCCCAGTGGCAGAGCCGAGATGCTGTTAATAAACCAAGTATGATCGGTGGGAAACCAGGAATCGATCGATACTCCAGAGACCATCGTAACCCTTTACACTATTGCTGTTTTGGAGGGAAAAAAAAAAATGAATGAAAAGTTAGCAAAGGTGGGGGAGGGGGATGAGCTGGGCTTGAACTCAGGCCTCGGGCTCAGAGAGCTGAGATGCTCAGGCTGTAAGGGAACTTCCCATGATGCACCTGTCAGTCAGCGAGAAGACCCTGGCTTGGGATGGAGACCCTGTTTTGGTTTTTGGTTTCATTGTTTGAGGCAGAGGCAACGTTTTGTGGTGCTCTTATTTTTTATAGACGTACTAGAGTAGGGGTGTCGAACTCAATCAGAGAAGGGGCCAAAATCTAAAATCCAGCCTAAATCGCGGGCCGAATGGTTTACTGAACAGTCATAAACTGTCATTGTGATGGAAATGCAGCGGAGTGCAGTGATGACAGCGCGGGGCGGGCCACATTGCAAGGCCTGGCGGGACGGATTTGGCCCGAGGGCCTTGTGTTTGACACATGTGATCTAGAGGCCCGGTGCAGGAATTCGTGCACGGGTGGGGTCCCTTGGCCTGGCCAGCAATTGGGGCTGATGGAGGAGGGAGAGGAAGGTTGGCTGTGGAAAAGTGCATTCACCGCCAGGGGGGGCAGCTCCTGCGTAGAGTGTCTGCCCCCTGGTGGTCAGTGCACATCATAGCGACTGGTCGTTCGGTTGTTTGGTCACGTAGGCTTTTATATATATATATATAGGTCTCAGAGACGGGTTTCCTCTTGACAGAGGGCGGAGTCAAACACGGTGCCACGAGGCACCGTGTGGCCTGCCGGGCTCTGGTCAGAGCGTTCTTGGCCGTACCCCTCGGGAGGGCGGGACCAGGTGGGCAGGACGTCATTGGGCGGGGGTGTGGTTCATCCCTTCTCCCTTCTCTCCTCCGGCCTTCCGTCTCGCTCTCATCCCCTCCATCCGGGTCCCCAGGGTTTCCCATCCTCTCGGTTCTCCCCTCTGAGTAGGTGACAGATGCATCAGGGTTCATCTGGGTAGGTTTTTTTTTTTTAAAAAAAGTCTATTTTATTGATTTTTACAGAGAGGAAAGGGGAGGGATAGAGAGCTAGAAACATCGATGAGAGAGAAACACCGATCAGCTGCCTCCTGCACACCCCCTACCGGGGATGTGCCCGCAACCAAGGTACATACATGCCCTTGACTGGAATCAAACCCGGGACCCTTCAGTCTGCAGGCCGACGCTCTGTCCACTGAGCCACACCCTCTAGGGCGGCCAGGGATGCTTTAGAGACGAAGGCATGCCTTCAGGAAGCCGGCCTGCTCTAGACTCTCACCATCTCTCTCAGAGACCCAGACGCCCAGGCCTGTGAGGGACAGGTCTCCCCCAGGATCTGACCTCCAGGTGGTAACTCAGCGCCGAATGCCGCCAGCCTCCCGAGAACGCTTTTATCTCATCTCCAGAAAGGTGCATATGGAGTAGAGCCTGTTCTGGAACGTGCGGGGTTTTCACTTTTGATTGCTTTCCGTGGAAAAGGGAGCACAACAATGGCAAGATGTAATAATCGTCTCAGCTGGGAGAAAAAGCACGCGCCCAAACCGAGTCTGACAGTTAAAAAGGCTGGACCGGCGAGGGAGAAATGGAGAAAATGATTAGAAAAGGAAAAAGGGGGCAGGGGGAGGGAAAGAACTGGACCGAAACCGAAATGCTTTGTCCCTGAACCCCGAGTCCACTCAGTTCTTTGAGTCGGAGGAGGGATGTCATGAGCCTGGATTGGCCCGAGCTGATGTGGGGGTGTCTCTTTCCAGTTTGCCTTTTGGGAATTGGGAGAAGGGGCCCCCAAGTGAATACCCTGAGAGGACTGACACCGGGTTGACAAGGGGACACAGATCCTTGATGACCCCAGAGTCTGACGGGGTGTGGCCGTGGCTAGCTTCTCTCTTCCTCCATCCAGCCATGCAGCCGGAGGAGATAGGTGGGGAGAGAGGCATTGTAATGGTCCATGTTGGAGTAGAGGAGAGAGAGCTAAGCATTTGTTCTAGAAATCAGTCCTCAGAGACGGGCTCACTAGCACCATGGTCAGCAAACTGCGGCTCTTTGGCCCCTGGCGTGTGGCTCTTCCACAAAACGCCACGGCCCGGGCGCGTCTACGTTGAAGACGCGGCGTTCGAAGACGCTGGCGTGTAGAACATGTGGCTCCCCAGAGAGATGTCCATCGTTGTGCTGTTGATGTTTGGCTCTGTGGACAGACGAGTTTGCCGGTCCCTGGGCTAGCACACCCATCGATGAAAAGGAGCCCAGGCCAAGCTCTGCTCCTCAGCAGCCTTGGGGGCTCTGAGAAACCTGTTTCCTCCTCCACCCCACGCGGAGAATGCCGCCTGGTTTGCAGGGTGGAGAGAGGGGTGGGAATGAGGTGGATGCCCCACGGGTGTGGATGGAGGAGTGAGGAGGGGCCCACCCAACGCTGACCCCTCCGGCCTCTGCCTCATCCATGCAGTACACACGGAGTGCGTGTCCCCACCCTCCTCCGAGCACCGTTGCATGTAATGCTTTTTTCTTTTTTTAACCTACAAGAGCCTTCCTTTACTCTTTATTTTTTAAAAAAATACATATTTTATTGATTCTTACAGAGAGGGATAGTTAGAAACATCCATCAGCTGCCTCTAGCACACCCCGTACTGGCGATGTGCCCGAAACCAAGGTGCATGCCCTTGACCGGAATCGAACCCAGGATCCTTCAGTCCGTAGGCCGACGCTCTATCCACTGAGCCAGACCGGTTTTGGCACTCTTTTTTTGTCCAATGAACAGACTTCTCTTTAAGACCCAACACAAACGCCCTGATCTGTTCCTTGTTTCCCTGGCCTCTGACTTCTCCCTCCCCTGATCCCCGCCATCTCCCCGCTTCCCTAGGCATAATCCTCCTTCCTCGTGTTGTCTCGTCCATGGGACCCCAAGCCCACGGAAGGCCAGACCCTGAACTCCACTCATCATTCCTGAGAGTATGGTCTGAGCCTAAGATGCTGTGTTTTAGGAAAGAATTTGGCCCAATATTTCCTCTTCTTCTTTTTCCTTTAAAAAAAATATATACATATATATTTTATTGATTTTTACAGAGAGGAAGGGAGAAGGATAGTTAGAAACATCGATGAGAGAGAAACATCACTGGGGATGTGCCCGCAACCAAAGTACATGCCCTTGACAAGAATCGAACCCGGGACCCTTCAGTCTGCAGGCCGACGCTCTATCCACTGAGCCAAACCAGTTAGGGCTTTGCTTTTCTTTAAGCAAAAGAATGCTGTGCTCTAGCCAGTATGGCTTAGTGGATAGAGCATCAGCCTGTGGATTGAAAGGCCCCAGGTTCGATCACGGTCAAGGGCATGCACCTAGGTTGCAGGCTTGGTCCCTGGCCCTGGTCTGGGCTTGTGCAGGAGGCAACCAATGCATGTGTGTCTCTCCCATGGATGTTTTTCTCTTTCTCCCCTTCTCCCTCTCCCTTCCACTCTCTCTTTCAAAAAAGAAAAATAAATCAATGGAAAAATATCCTCGGGTGAGGATTAATGAAAACAAACAAATAGAAAAAAGAACCCTGTGCCACTCTAAGACAGCAATTACCCACTCAAGAAGAAGAAGAAAAAAAGAAATAATTGAGTTGCTCACACGCTAGAATTAAAAGTGCATTCTGAAATAGCTTTTTAATTGGGAGGATTGTAATTGCTTTATTAATCTTAAACAAGGTAAACCGGGGACATCAGAGACAGACGCAAAACAGACTCATTCTCGGCGTTGTTTGGCACTGGCAGTGACCTTGGGAGCAGGTGGTGGATGAGGCCATATTCCCACCCTCAGCACGCACTCCACCGGTGTGGCTCAGTGGATAGAGCGTCGGCCTGCGGACTGAAGGGTCCCAGGTTCGATTCCGGTCAAGGGCATGTACCTTGGTTGCGGGCACATCCCTGG